CTACACCTTTTGCAGTGAGAAGTTCCTGGAGGAAGGAATTTTTCTGTGTCCTGTCCAGCCACTCAGTTTAGGTGTGCGTAAAGCAGGTGATGCTCAGGGCACATTCAGACACGGACACCAAGATCCCTCCCCGAACACACACCGCCGTTTAACAAAAGTAGCATTGTCCATGGCAGGACAAGGGGCAAGTGCTTTACTTACTACACACTTTAAAATCCCGCTAGCCCTGCACAGCGGCTGCAGGGACTCTGCCGCGCTCAGCACCGGAACGGACTGAGGGCACTCGCGCCGCCTGTTGCCACGTCCTCAGCTGAAGCTGCTGGAGGGAAAAGCAGGGGGCTGATACCTGCTATCACAGCGCACAAGTGCACGTCTGCCTATGCTCGAGGCGGCATGTGACTAAAGTGCCCTTCGCCTGGCCCCATCCCCTGACCTAATCTCTACAGCAGACGATCCTTCTTTTCAGCTTTGCTGCCATCTGACCGACTGGCTGAAACATTCTCCTAATGATGTCTGACACATCAGGCAAAATCCACTGCTGGAATAAGACACAGCGGAGAGCCTTTGCAGTCTCAAAGCCTTTGCCTCAGGGCTGATAATTTCCATGCTGTTTAATTTAACCTGTAACCCACAATCCACCCAATCACACAGAGAGAAAGAAAAAAGCAGCTTAAACCCAAACCCCAGCCCTGCCACCTCCTTCGTCAAGTCAGGATGAGAGACAGAACTCAGCTCCTTCTCCCAGCGCAACACTGAAAACACACGCGTTTCTGCCTATTGAAACCAGCAAACAGTAGCCAGGGCCCCATCTCATTTTGGATGCAGTTTTGTTTAATTCATCTGGTGAAACAATAAACATCATGAAATCAAATGTCCTGGTCAACGCCTGAGAGGAGGGGGGACCACGCAGCAGACGTGCGCCTGCTGAGCCCCCTCCCGCGCTGCTCCCCGGGGAGCACAGACCGGGGCTTCGCGAGGGAGGAGGAAGCACAGTAACAGCTTCTGAAAGTTCATGTGCTTTTAAAACTTGCTGGAAATTAAAGCAAAACGAGGCCTGCGATTTTCAGAAACACACGGACAACAGAACCAGAGCTATGTAAAACAGACTGAAGTGGGACTGCCAGAAGGAGTCCCTGGAATTAATTTAATTGCAACCTATTTGTACGTTCTGAAAAAAATCAATTATGATTTCCTCCTGCCTCCCTATTCCTTTGGTTTTCAAGGGAATAGTTCAGTGGGCAAAAAGGTACCAGGATTAAGAGCTGAGGTGTATAAAGCTCATTTTTCACCCAGCCCAGAGCTCAGCTCTGCCACGTACACCCTTTCTGAGGATTAGCGAGCTGCACTCGTCCTGATGCAAAAAGACACTGACAGCTGAACATCTGCCCCTTGAATTTAAAGTCAAGCACGGGCTTCGTAGTTGAACCTATTACGGCAGCTCGCTCGCTCTCTTTCTCTCTCTGAAATGGGCTCACAGTACCTACTTCCCTTCTACTGCTGCGTAGGGTTTGCTTGGGGTCTCTGTACGTTGGTGCGCTTACACTCCGGCGCGCCGCGGGCCCTCATCTACTGCTGAATGGCCCGAGAGCCTCCAGGCTCAGTTTGCAGCTCGTCTAGAGAGAAAAGTTCGCATTGAATTCCTGGGACAGGCTGGTGCCGGGGTCCCGCGCGGCCCGTGAGGCTCGAGGCTGCC